TGGGGCAAGTGATGCTCTGTCTTCTTGGTGCTTGGGGGGGGGGGCAACAGTGGGAGGGCTTCTGGTGTCCTGGCCCCACTGCTGGACCTCCTGATGGCACCTGGTATTTTTGGCCAGAGTGTTGTGTGACAGAGTGTTGGACTGGGTGGGCCATTGGCCTGATCCACTATTGGCTTCTTTTATGTTCTTATGCACATCTCTTGTCTTGAAATCCCCGGGGTTACTCTGGCCAGGGGGTGAATCCGGCCTGTGCACTTAACCACTACACCAAAATGGTGATGCAAAAGACCTCTACCTGAGACCCTGGAGAGTCAGTGCCATTCTGATCCAGTAAAAGGCAGCGTTTTATAGACAAACAACACGTGCGTCTGGCTGTTTTAAGCTAACTCCATTATTTTGGAATTGCCGTACCTAACCGTGTCCCTTGGAGACCTCTACCTGAGACCCTGGAGAGTCAGTGCCATTCTGATCCAGTAAAAGGCAGCGTTTTATAGACAAACAACACGTGCGTCTGGCTGTTTTAAGCTAACTCCATTATTTTGGAATTGCCGTACCTAACCGTGTCCCTTGGAAGTCTCATAAGAACATAAGAGAAGCCAATGTTGGATCAGGCCAGTGGACCATCCAGTCCAAGACTCTGTGCCACACAGTGGCCAAAAATACCAGGTGCCATCAGGAGGTCCACCAGTGGGAAGACCCCAAAACTTCGATTGGACATTTACTGAATACTATAAAAATATATGGGGAAAAAGCAGGTCTCAAAATAAACTTAGGAAAGACGAAAATAATAACAAAAAATTGTAATAAAACAGAGGTGGAAAACTTGTACTGGATATCCAACATAGAAGTAGTAAAAAAGGTAAAATATTTAGGCATTAATATAACAAACAACAATCTGAACCTCTATGACAATAACTACAAAGTACTTCTAGAGGAGATCAAGAATGATCTTGAAAAATGGCAAGATCTACACATCTCATTGCTAGGAAGAATAGCTACTATCAAAATGAACATCCTCCCGAGATTTTTATTTTTTGTGCAATGTATCCCGGTCTTGAAAAATGAAAAGTTTTTTGAAGAATTAGACCGCATGACAAGAAGATTCATATGGCAAGGCAAAAAAGAGCGAATAAGATGGAAATTTCTGAAAGATAGAAAAGAAAGAGGAGGATGTGATATGCCAGACTGGAAGATTTATTACCAAGCAGCAGCAATGGGATGGATATGGGAATGGATACTCTTAGAAGACAAAAAATTACTACAACTAGAGGGTCATGATTTATATATGGGCTGGCATGCCTACATTTGGTACGATAAGGAAAAAGTGCATAAAAACTTCAGTAACCATATTATAAGAGGGGCACTGATTAAGATCTGGAAGAAAATTAAAGAAAAAACGTACAAAGAAGTACCGATGTGGGTGTCACCACTCGAAGCCTTTATATTGCCAGCCTTATTAACAGAGGGGAAAAAAGCAACTTATGAAAAGCTATTAACCAAAGAAAAAGAATTAAAAACATTAGAGAATCTACAAGAAATGAATATAAACCTGACAAGTTGGGAAAGAACAATATTACAATCAAGATTTGCTAAGGACAAAAAAATAAAATTCAATGACTCAATGTTAGAACTAGATAAGATTTGGTTGTCCTCGGCAGACAAACAAATACAAAAGCTATACAAACTTCTTCAGAAGGAAAGCATGGAAGATATAGCAATAAAACCCTGCATGAAAACCTGGGAACAAAATATAGGCCACATAATAAATATGCAAGAATGGGAAAAAATGTGGGAAACGAAAAAAATAGTAAGAGCCACACCTTATAAAGAGAATATTCTAAAAATGTTTTACAGGTGGCACTGGTCACCGGATAAAATAGCGAAATGTTATAAAAATGTCTCGGATATATGTTGGAGATGTAATAATAACGTAGGAACATACTATCATATATGGTGGAGGTGCGACAAAATAGTAAAATTTTGGAAAATGGTAAAATATCTGATAAAAGAAATTGTAGGAATAGATCTGCAGCTTAACCCGGAAAGTTACTTGCTTAATATTTTGCCTGATATAATAAACAAGGATGATAAATGTATTGTGTTATATATCCTCACGTTAAGCAGAATTCTAATAGCGAAAAAATGGAAATCAGATTTACTACCTAAAAAAGAAGAAATAATGGAAAAAATATTCGAAATAGCAGAAATGGACAGATTAAATATGATATTAGCAGAAAGAGATGATAATGTTTATAACAAAAGATGGTTTAAAGTGTATAAATGGTTTGAAAAAAATGTATAATGAACACTCCGAAACTGATTTGTACAATAAGAATATATTCGGATTTTTATTTTTTGTTTGTTTGTTTGTTGGAAAAAGCATAAATAAAATTTTTTAAAAAAAAAAAAAGGAGGTCCACCAGTGGGGGCAGGACATTAGAAGCCCTCCCACTGTTGGCCTCCCCAAGCACCAAGAAGACAGAGCATCCCTTGCCCCAAAGCCCCTATCTATACCTTGTGGCTAATAGCCACTGATGGACCTCTGCTCCATATTAAGAACATAAGAGAAGCCAGTGTTGGATCAGGCCAGTTGACCATCCAGTCCAAGACTCTGTGCCACACAGTGGCCAAAAATACCAGGTGCCATCAGGAGGTCCAGCAGTGGGGCCAGAACTCCAGAAGCCCTCCCACTGTTGCCCCTCCCCCCAGCACCAAGGAGACAGAGCATCCCTTGCCCCAGACGGAGAGTTCCTGTCTATACCTTCTTGCTAATCCAAGTACTGACCAAGGCAGACCCTGTTGAGTTTCTGAGAACTGATCAGATCGGGCGCGCCTGGACTGTCCAGGTTGAGGGCACAATGCAGCCACCGACGTGGGGGGGGGGAGATGACTGCAACTTCTTCTGCCGTGTATTTCGAAGAGGCCCAACGAAGCATCAAACGGAAGTGTTACGGAGATGGCCGCCTGCGCTGTGTCAGCTCTCCCGACTTCCATCAGCGCCGTGAACAAACAAACAAAAAACACATAAATTAAAAAGCAAACCCGTTACCCTCGGTGGTGTCCACTTCCGCTTGCTCCTCTCTCGGCTTCTGCTTGAACTTCATGTTGCCAAAGTGCATGATGCCGCCGGTTAGCTTGTAAACGCCTACTTTCTCTTCCGGAGTGAAGCCCAGGACATCAAAGGCCACCTGTCAGGGCAGGGAAGGGGAGAGACGCGGGGTAAGAACCAGCGGGGTCAACCCGCAGCCCAAAGAGCAAATGCGTCAGCATACCGTCAGGACCTGGTGGCGGTTTCAGAGGAGTAAATATGAGGTTGGTGGCAAAATGCAGATATACCGATGCCATTATTGTATGCTGTGCTTTAGCTCAAGGGTCCCCCAACCATAGTGCCACCTTTTCTGATGTCCACCAAGTGTTTTTAGAAAGTGGGCAGGGCCTAGTGCGAGGCTTCTGATTGGCCGTGCAGATTTTGTTTAAAAAAACAAAACAAAACTGCACCAAGATCTTCACTGTGTGACTGAGGGGAAGGCCAGGGAAGCCATTTTGTTGCTGGCACAGCTATTTCATGGCAGCCATTTTGAGGCTGCGCCTACCACACCGTGTCAGAATCCCAAAGGTGACCACGGGCTCAAGAAGGTGGCCAGCATGTGTTATTTCATGACGGTAAAGTCATTAATCACCACGAGTGCCGATTCAGCAGACGGGCTCCCGATCTGACTCTGCACGTCACCGCCTTGGGAGGTCAAAGGTCAGACGGGCATAGCTCTGTTTGTCTACTAACCTTAGGCGATATGAACCCAATAATATTGGGGGGGCCCTCAGCCTGGGAAGACCCCCAAGACAGTTTGCCTCCTTTGCACCCCAAGCTGTTGGGACTGGAACCAGAAACCCACAGATCCATGCACTGTTGCCCCCCATGTAGTGAACCACCACTCCAACAGCCCAGGAGTGTTTCTTAGATAGTGACGCATTCCAGGGCAGGGGTGTCAAACATGCGGCCTGGGGGCCAGATCAGGCCCTCGGGCGGCTACAATCCAGCCTGTAAGACCCTGGCTGTTTCCTGCTTCCTTTCCTAGTTATGCTGCTGCTGCTATATCACAGCTTACTTTACAACACTCTCCTAATCACACAGGAAAGATAGATAAGCAAGCCTCCCCTGTGCATTTGAGAGAGTCTGGTAAAGCACTGGCTCCTCCCCCTCCTCCTCCCAGGGGGCGGGAGGGAACCAACCAGAGCTTGCTTCCTGGCCAGGCTGCCTCAATCGTATACAGGAGACATGTATACAGGAGAGCCAGTTTGGTGCAAGAGCCAGTTTGGTGTAGTGGTTAAGTGCGCGGACTCTAATCTGGGAGAACCGGGTTTGATTCCCCACTCCTCCACTTGCACCTGGCTGGATGATCTTGGGCAAGCCGTAGTTCTGATAAGAGCTGTTCTTGGAAAAGAGCAGTTTCTGTCAAGAGCTCTCTCAGCCCCACCTACCCCACAGGGTGTCTGTTGTGGGGAGGGGAAGGGAAAGGGGTTTGTAAGCTGCTCTGAGACACCTTTGGGTAGTAAAGGGCGGGGTATAAAGCCAATCACTTCTTCTTTTATTTAAAGTTTTTAAAAAATCTTTAATTGTGTGTCTGTGTCCTTTATAAAGTTTATATCTCCGCTACCTGGCATTACATTTTATGACACACGTGGCCCGGCCCAACATTTATGTCAGATCCGGCCCCCATAACAAATGAGTTCAACAACCCTGTTCTAGGGGCTATGGAATGTCGCACGTGGACACAACAGGGTCTCGGGCAGAGCTCATTCCACAGCTGAGAGGGAGCATTGCCTGTGAGGTAGGTGGGGCTGAGAGAGGTCTGAGAGAACGGCTCTTTCAAGGACAGCTCTTATCAGAACTATGGCTTGCCCAAGGTCATCCAGCGGCTGTAAGTGGAGGAGTGGGGAACCAAACCCGGTTCTTCCAAAGTCCGCGCACTTAACCACTACACCAAACCAATCATTGCGACGTTGCGTTAAGAAAAAAAATATATAATCGATTTACAGGGAGAATGGTAAATGGTTAGCCGCCCTGAGAGGAGGAGGAGGAGGAGGAGGAGGAGGAGGAGGAGGAGGAGATTGGATTTCTACCCCGCCCTTCACTACCCAAAGGCGTCTCAGAGCGGCTTACAATCTCCTTCCCCTTCCCCTCCCCACAACAGACACCCTGCGAGGTGGGTGGGGCTGAGAGACCTCTTGACAGAAACTGCTCTTTTTCAAGGACAGCTCTTGTCAGAGCTACGGCTTGCCCAAGGTCATCCAGCCAGGTGCAAGTGGAGGAGTGGGGAATCGAACCTGGTGCTCCCAGACTAGAGTCCGTGCACTTAACCACTACACCAAACTGGCTCTCAGCTGGAAAGGGGGTGGGTGGAAACTTAAAACTAGTAATCTTTTACGGCAGCGTGTCTCCAGTCGCAGTCTTTCCCATTGTTTATGACCTGATCCCTTTCAGCAGCAGATGCCGGGGACCGAACCTGGGGCCTTCTGCACTAAAAGCGGGGGCCCTGCCACTGAGCCACGGCCCCGCTCCTTGGGGGCTCATCAGGATTAGCAGGCTTACGTCCGTGAGAAGCAGCTCTTCCCCGTCGTCCATGTTCTCGACCACAGTCACTCCCTGGCTCGTCCAGTGGTATTCCTTGGGGTCGGGCACGAGAAGCAAGGACTCTGTGAAAGAGAAGGGGTGTCAGTATGCAAATAAGTTATGCTAATGAGCTATGCTAATGAGCTCCTGCACCTCTTTTCCTACGAAATGACCCCTGCGCACATGTGTATACACACACACACAGACACGAAGAGTTAAATCGCGCACATACAGAGTGCCGTACCAGTAAGTTCAGGCTTCTTGTTTGAAAGAATCTGGTAGAAGATGTGATACCCTCGCTCGGCAGGCTGCTGGGAGATGACACGTGACTTCTCTAAGAGATCTGGAACAAGAGAGAAGCCCAGGCTCACCGCGAGAATGCAGACAGGACCGGCAGTCAAAAATATATTTCAGGAGGCAGCTCTTCTGCCGCGCAAGGCCTCCCTCGGGGCCTGGGGTGCTATCTGTTTAATGAAACCGTTTCTATTCCGCCTCAGAACAAACTGGTAGATAGACCGACAGGCTGGATAGCGTTTGCACATAACTGCTTTCAGTAGAATCATAAAGTTGGAAGGGGCTTCGAGGGTCATTTATTTATTTATTTATTTATTTCAATTTATAGCCCGTCCTCCCCGCAAGCGGGCTCAGGGCGGCTCACAAATGGGGCGTAAGCCAATACATAAAAACAGATTAAAATTGCATAAAACGATCAATACAATATTACAAAGTTATAAGCACTGTTCCCTCTAAGCTGAGTTAGTGTGAGCCGGCTCACAGTTTTTTAGCCTCCGGCTCACACATTTTTGTCTTCGCTCAGGAAGGGATGGCTCCAGAGCAAACGCAGTAGCCAAATCGCTCGCTCACAACTTTAATGCCAGGAGCTCACAAAGTAGAATTTTTGCTCACAAGACTCCACAGCTTAGAGGGAGCGTTGATTATAAGTGCTCTAGATGTTTCGGAACAAACTTCAGGGAAAAGACGGTGTCTTGAAGATGGTACTCCCAAATCGGTGAACATTAGAACATAAGAGACACCAATGTTGGATCAGGCCAAAGCCCCATCTAGTCCAACACTCTGTATCACACAGTGGCCAGAAATACCAGGTGCCATCAGGAGGTCCACCAATGGGGCCAGGACATTAGAAGTCCTCCCACTTTTGACCCCCCCCCCAAGCACCAAGAAGACAGAGCATCCCTTGCCCCAGAGCCCCTATCTATACCTTGTGGCTAATAGCCAGGGATGGACCACTGATGGAATTATGTCAGTTTCACGCGGCGCTGTCATTCACTCCTCCCAGGACCAGTTGGTAATGATGGTAAGGTGGTGGCAGGTCCTACTCAAAAGCCTGGCGGAAGAGCTCCGTCTTACAGGCCCAGCAGAACTGCGCAAGGTCCCGCGGGGCCCGGGTCTCTTCCAGGAGCTCATTCCACCAGGTAGGAGCCGCCACTGAGAAAGCCCTGGCCCTGGTTGCAGCCAGCCTGGCCTCCTTGGGCCTGAGATCACCAGGAGATGTTGCGTCCCCGACCGTAGTGCCCGTAAGGTCATCAAGTGCCCATATGGTCATCAAGTCCAACCCCCTGCACAATGCAGGGAATTCACAAATACCTCCAACCCACACACTCACAGCGACCCCTGCTCCATGCCCAGAGATATACCTCCAGGATCTCCAGCCAAACTGGCCTGGAGAAAATTGCTTCCTGACCCCAAAGTGGCGATTAGCATTTCCCCGGGCATGTAAGAAAGGGCCACGAGAACTAAGCACTGAGGCAACCCTTCCTGCCCTCCCTCTCATGATCTGCCTAAGTTCACAGAATCAGCATTGCTGTCCGATGGCCATCGAGCCTCTGTTTGAAAATCTCCAAAGAAGGGGAGCCCACCACCTCCCGAGGAAGCCTGTTCCACCGAGGACACGCTCTGTCGGGGAGTTCTTCCTAATGTTCAGCCGAAATCTCTTTTGATTTAGTTTCATTCATAACTTCAGTAACATTACTTCTGACTTCCATCTAAAACAGATCTCAGTCTGAGATCTGAAGGGTCTCTTACGGCAGAGACTGGACCGGCTCGGATACTTACAGCTCTCAATGTCAGCCCCGGCCAGTTTTCCTGTGCTGCCAAAGTGAATTCGGATGAATTTACCCTAGGCAATGAGAAAAAGGAGACCGGCTCGTTGAGCGAGAGAGAAATATGGTCACGCAGAGAAGATTAAATAGACAGAAGACTGGAGACCAGCGCGGTCTCCAGGGGGCAAACTGTCAACCGGGAACGGAAACGTTCGGCTTTTCTGCATTTGCAAACAAAATTTGCTCTCCAAAATGATTCTATAAAGTATAGCTAAATGGACTCGTGGGAATTAGTATCTGCAGAAATGAAAGGTGCGTTTTGCAAAGAGAAATCGTACAAATGGAATGAATTGTGCTAAGTAATAGACGTTTCCGCAATAGCACATGCAGTGACTTCCTAAGGCCATTTCAGGTCAGGAAAACAGCACGGGGGTGAAGGCCACTCCCTGAGGCCATTTCAGCTCAGGAAAACAGCATGGGGGTGAAGGTTTAAGCCTCTTCTCCCCACACGGTCCCAGTTCAAATCAAGACTCCACATGCCTGGGAACTCTCGGAACTCAGAAAACGTCTGGCCGACAGGCTCTGCATACAATGTATCATGCGGGAATAGAGGAAGAATGGTGGTACTGATTGGGGGGGGGAGTACAACACAGGTTCAGAATCGGGCACTTACAAAGCGAGAGGAATTGTTGTTCCTGGTCGTTTTGGCATTCCCGAAGGCTTCCAGGACTGGGTTGGCCTGGATGATTTGATCCTCCAGGGACCCCTGCGCAAGACATAACCATCAAACGGCTTAATACGACGGCTCTGTTAGTCGGGGACATTTCTCAACAGCAAAAGAGGAATGTTCTCACCGGGAACCATCAGCGGGGGACGCCCGTTTGTCCGGCCCGAAGCCCTTACCTTCCCGTCAGCAGGGGCTTTGCCTGTGCTGCCGATGTTGGCAAAATACTGGATGACTTTCTTCGTGTTCTCAGTCTTGCCGGCCCCGGATTCTCCGCTTTGGATGAAAAGAGGAGATGGGAATCAGTAGCAGGCAGACAGTATGGTATAGGAGTTAGAGCGGGGGGGGCATAGGCACCACAGTGTAGTATGAATGGGACTATAAAGATTTTTATATATAGGGGTTTTCCTTCTTGATTGTTCATAATCATATCTCTCTGGTTGTTATAGATTTATTCTTTAAGTAATATTTTATTCTTTAAGTAATATTTTATTCTTTAAGTAATATTTTATTCTTTAAGTAATATTTTATCCCTTGCTCCTCCCCAACTTCTTCGCACACACAAACGGTTTAAATGCTATTGGGGCCTATCGACATTTAAGTACACTGATCTGCTGCTGCCATGTGCGGCCTTAGCTTAGCAGACATTCAAAGTCTGGTCTGGCAAGAAAGAGGCAGAGACGTTCCACCAAGCATACGGTTGAGAACAGCAAGACCGATTTCACACAAGAGCTGCGCCGCGGTCGCGCCTCCCTTTGCCCCGCTTCTATTGGTCAATTTCCCACGCGAAGCCGCGCAGCCACATTTTGACCCATGGCTTCGCTCCATTTTCCCCGTGGTTTCGTGATCCTCAAAAAACAGGATCATGAAACCGTGGGGAAAATCGGGCGAAGCCGCGGGTCAAAATGTGGCTGCGCGGCTTCGAGTGGGAAATTGACCAATAGAAACGGGGCAAAGGGAGGCGCGACCGCGGCGCGGCTCTTGTGTGAAATCGGTCCAACAGTTTTTAACAGCAATCGAATCGATCTGTTGCTTCCTCACTCTTCCCTCCCCACCATGTTAACGTTAATGGAGATCAAATTTTACTGTGGCGCCATGTAGGCTTATGTTTTAGAAGAAGAAGAAGAGATTGGATTTATACCCCGCCCTTCACTGCCCAAAGGAGTCTCAGAGCGGCTTACAAACTCCTTTCCCTTCCCCTCCCCACAACAGACACCCTGTGAGGTAGGTGGGGCCGAGAGAGCTTTTTCCAGGACTGCTCTGGAGAGAACAGCTCTGAAAGAACTTGTGGCTGACCCAAGGTCACACCAGCAGCCGCATGTGGAGGAGTGGGGAATCAAACCCGGTTCTCCCAGATTAGAGTCCGCGCTCCTAACCACAACACCAAACTGGCTCTCTTTTATGATAGTATATTTGATTGTTTTAGTTTTTCCTTTGTTTCAAACTGTTCTACACCGCTCTGCAGGGAGGGCAGCATAGAAATTCAATGAAATAAATCAACTGGAGGAGAAGTTCTGAGTTCCTCATAGGGAGGGCAAGATAAAAAAGTGGTAGATATATAGACAGATACAATCAGAATGTAGAAAGGCACACAGAGGCACTACACCCCACCCGAAAAAAGAGGGTTCACGCATCAGATAGGCCAGATATTCAGTTCTGGAGGTCTGTGATGCCGACCCCCTGAATCTCGAGTGCGAGAGCCGACGAGACCAGTCCCCTCAGATCGTGACGATTTCCAGAGCTGAGATCTCGCTTCTCTGCTTCTCTCGCACTGCGTTCTTAGGTTTTATTTCCCGCAGCGAAAAAGTACCCGTCTCGAGTGGCTGAGCGGAGCAGCTCGCAAATTCATACTTACGTGATCAGCATAGACTGGTTCTCGCGTTCTGCGTGGAGCACAAGGAAAGAGAAGACAGCGGGCGTTAATAAAGGGTCTTCATCTTCCCGCGGAGCTAATTTACAACTCGGCGGTAGCTCCCCCCTAATCTCCCCTTTCCCGTCCCAACTGAAGAGTCCTTTCTTGTGTGGCCACAGACCTGAAGATGTGGGATTTTGGAAGGTAAACTCTGGTTTCTCTTCAGATCGCATAAATCTTTCGCCTTTTATTAAGGATTTTGGAAGGTGACAGGGAAATAGAGCCGGGGAAGGCATACCGATGCTGAAAGAAAGTTTATCGCCACCCTGGGCATTCGGAAGAGGAAGAGGAAGGAGGAGGAGGAAGAAGAAAAGGAAGAGAAGGAAGAAGAGGAGGAAGAAGAGAAGAGGAGGAAGAGGAGGAAGAGGAAGAGAAGGAAGAAGAGGAGGAAGAAGAGAAGAGGAGGAAGAGGAGGAAGAGGAAGAGAAGGAAGAAGAGGAGGAAGAAGAGAAGAGGAGGAAGAGGAGGAAGAAGGCGGAAAAGGAGAAGGAGGAAGAGGAGGAGGAGGAGATTTGATTTATACCCCGCCCTTCACTACCCAAAGGAGTCTCAGAGCGGCTTACAGACAAACAGGACCTCCTGGAATGTCACGGATGATCCCTCGCTCCATGTGTTCGGCCAGCTAGACCCAAAGCACTGATCTAGCACAGATTTTCACACGTGAACCGAGAGAGATCCTGCTGCAGGGGACGTTAGGATCCATTTTCAGTTTCGATCAGGAGGCAGCTGTGATCCCCCCCCCCCACGCACAGGGTAGCCAGCATTAGGGCTGCCAAGCCCCGGGGGGGGGGGGTGTTCCTGGCCAAAAGGGTCCCCAATCTGCCGGTCTGGATCAGGGCGCCCCCAAAGTGCCTGGTTCGGGCCGACGTTATCATGGTGTCTCCCAGCAAGGAACCAGCACTCCCCTGCTTTTAAAGGTAAGTCACTTGCCAACCCTAGCCGGCATCCGCACGGGGGCCTAGAGATCTCCCAGAATTACAACTGACCTCCAGAATACAGAGATGGCAGCTTTGGAGGGTGGACAGTATGACAGTATACCCCACCAAGGTCCCGCCCCTCCCCAAACCCCGCCCTCCCTAGGCTCCGCCCTCCAGATTCCAAGGGATTTGCCCCAGTGCGGAGCTGACAATCCTATACAGCTTCTGCCACGGCAAGTTCTCTTTCAATTGTGTCAGAGCTGATGGAAGCCACGTGTCCAGAGATGCTGGGCTTAAATTGGGAACCGCGGGGCCTCAGATACCTTGAGGGAAACTGCCCGCATTTCAAGCCAGGATATGCCTACTGCAGGCCAGAAAATACCCCTGGTCTCGGAAATCAGATGATCCAGAAGGTCTAACCAAAGGGCACTGTCTACTACGAAGGCCCAATGCCTGCAACTCTGCTATAAGGCCTAGGCCTACACCACTCCTGCAGTCTAGGCAACCTGTTCCCTCTAGGTTGCCCCTGAAGATAATACCACCCCAGGCTCCCTGCCGATTGTGGCCTTCCCCGCTGATTGTGGCCTTCCTGCCGATTGCGGCCTTATCTGTCCCCTGGCATGTCCGCATGTGAATGTGGCTAGGCCCGGTAACCGTGACAACCGAGGCCCTGGCTCTCTGGCTTCCTGTCACTATGACAGTGGTGTCCTCCTGAAGATAATACCACCCCAGGCTCCCTGCCGATTGTGGCCTTCCCCGCTGATTGTGGCCTTCCTGCCGATTGCGGCCGTATCTGTCCCCTGGCATGTCCGCATGTGAATGTGGCTAGGCCCGGTAACCATGACAACCGAGGCCCTGGCTCTCTGGCTTCCTGTCACTATGACAGTGGTGTCCTCCTGAAGATAATACCACCCCAGGCTCCCTGCCGATTGTGGCCTTTCCCGCTGATTGTGGCCTTCCTGCCGATTGCGGCCGTATCTGTCCCCTGGCATGTCCGCATGTGAATGTGGCTAGGCCCGGTAACCGTGACAACCGAGGCCCTGGCTCTCTGGCTTCCTGTCACTGCGACAGTGGTGTCCTCCGCCTCCGAACCCCACAATCTCCCCAGCCACTGAAACTGGAGGGGGGGGGATGGCAGCATTCCTTCGCAGCTCTCACCCATGAGCATGTCGTGGTAGGCGTTGTCAGAGATGGAGAACAGGTGGGGGGGCACCTCTGTGCGCTTCCTGCCCTTGTACATCTGAGCCACGCGGGAGCCGTAGATGGGCAGCCACTTGTACGGGTTGATGGTGACACAGAACAGGCCGGAGTAGGTCTGGAGGGAGCAGAAAGGAAGCGGTGTAAGCTTTCTCGTCTAGCGGATTCGGGGTTGGCTTTAGAGCCGGGAGAACCGTATTCAGGCCCTCGCTCAGTCAGGGACACACACGGCAGCCAGGAGGGGCCATAGGGCGGCCAGGTCCCCTCGACTTGCAGGCTGGGGGGCTTGGGGGCATTCTAGGTGTTATACGCGGTGGGTGGGGGCATCACACAACGCCCCCAATGCAATGACATCACATGGAAATGATGCCATCATGCCGGGAGTGTCTCACAGTGACGCTCTGCATTTGGGGCAAAACTCTATCGTTTCTTTGGCCTAAAACCATAGAGTTGTGCCCAAAAACCAGAGTGTCACTGCACAATGTCCCTGACAGACGGAGGGCCAGGCAGAACCCTGAAAATCGGGGAAACCCCCGCCCAGACTGGGGGGCACGGCAACCCTAAGGGGCCAAGGTTCAGTGGCAGAGCATCTGCTTAGCATGCAGAATGTCCCAGGTTCAATCCCTGGCATCTCCAGCTAAAAAGATCAGGTAGGAGGTGATGTGAAAGATCTCTGCCTGAGACCTTAGAGAGCACTGTATTCTTGGTGCTGGGGGGGGCAACAGTGGGAGGGCTTCTGGTGTCCTGGTCCCCTGCTGGACCTCCTGATGGCACCTGGTATTTTTGGCCACTGTGTGACAGAGAGTTGGACTCGATAGGCCATTGGCCTGAGCGAACATTGGCTTCCCTTACGTTCTTATAAGAGGGAACTGGATAGACATATGGAGCAGAGGTCCATCAGTGGCTATTAGCCATATAGATAGGAACTCTCAGTCTGGGGCAAGGGATGCTCTGTATTCTTGGTACTTGGTACTTGGGAGGGGGCAACAGTGGGAGGGCTTCTAGTGTCCTGGCCCCACTGGTGGACCTCCTGATGGCACCTGGTATTTCTGGCCACTGTGTGACACAGAGTGTCGGACTGGATGGGCCATTGGCCTGATCCAACATTGGCTTCTCTTATGTTCTTATGTCTGGGGAAAGTGATGCTCTGTATTCTTGGTGTTGGGGGGGGCAACAGTGGGAGGGCTTCTGGCCCCACTGGTGGACCTCCTGATGGCACCTGGTATTTTTGGCCACTGTGTGACACAGAGTGTCGGACTGGATGGGCCATTGGCCTGATCCAACATTGGCTTCTCTCATGTTCTTATGTCTGGGGCAAGGGATGCTCTGTATTCTTGGTACTTGGTACTTGGGAGGGGGCAACAGTGGGAGGGCTTCTAGTGTCCTGGCCCCACTGCTGGACCTCCTGATGGCACCTGGTATTTCTGGCCACTGTGTGACACAGAGTGTTGGACTGGAGGGGCCACTGGCCTGATCCAGCATGGGCTTCTCTTGTGTTATGTTCTTAATCAGACCTTCTTGGTCCATCAAGGTCAGTGCTAGCCCCCCAGCGTGGCAGCAGCTCTCCAGGGTCTCAGGTTGGGGATCTTTCACATCAACTCCTGCCCGGCCCAATAACTCTCCCAAAAGGCACTCAGACACTTGGGAGGAGGGCTGTCCGTCGTACCCGGAATACCCTTTTGCCCTCTGTGCTATTCAGACACCCCCGGCCCGTCTCCTTTGCCCAACTCACATAGATCCTCATGACGATGTAACGCTGCCGCAGGTTGTCCAAGACGCTGGCTTCGTTCAGGAAGGTCATGTTGGCCATGTCGCTGATCTGGTAGAACTTGGGCGGGTTCATCTGCATGACGTCGTCCTTCTTCATGGTGACGGTCTGCGCGGCGGAAGGATCGTTTAGCGGAAGCCAGCCTAGTCAGCACCAAGACCCATCTGCATCGTTCTAAACTTCTCAAGCCCTTACTTGTAAGCAGGACGTTGGAGTGGTCTTAGCAGCGTCTTGGGGGGTGGGGGTGGTAGGAAGGGCCGTCGAGGTGCAGCCCACTCAGGCCTGTAGCCACTGGGGGGCATTTGGGGGCAGAGCCCCGTCACCCACGAGCCCTGCCCCACCACCTAATGATGCCAGGCACCCCCACCTTTAGTGCACCTAGCCCCCCAGTGGTGGTGAGGCTGGGTAAACAAAGGGAAGCTGCCCTGCAGCGTCTGGTCAGTTCCACTCTCCTCCACCAGCTGTTAGGTTCAACAGCTGAAAGGAGGGGAGTGAAACTGACTGGAAGCAGCAGGGCAGCTTCCCTTTGTTTAACCAGCCTCCCTGCTGCTGGGAGGGGAGGAAGAAGAGGAGGAAGAGGAGGAGGAAGAGGAAGAGGAGAAAGAAGAGGAGGAAAAAAAGAAAGAAGAGGAAGAGGAGGAGGAAGAAGAAGAAGAGGAGGAGGAGGAGATTGGATTTATACCCCGCCCTTGACTACCCGAAGGTGTCTCAGAGCGGCTTACAGACTCCTTTCCCTTCCCCTCCCCACAACAGACACCCTGGGAGGAAGGCGGGGCTGAGAGAGCCCTTCCGAGGACTGCCCTTGAGAGAACGTGTGACTGACCCAAGGTCACACCAGCATACCTAACAAGGGATACTCCAAAATTCAGCTCATTCTGTCACTTTGATATAGAAGAAGAAGAAGATTGGATTTATATCCTGCCCTTCACTCGGAGTCTCAGAGCGGCTGACAAACTCCTTTCCCTTCCCCTCCCCACAACGGACCCCCTGTGGGGTAGGCGGGGCTGAGAGAGCTCTTGACAGAAACTGCTCAAGAACAGCTCGTAACTACGGTTTGCCCAAGGTCATCCAGCAGCTGCAAGTGGAGGAGTCAGGAACCAAACCTGGTTCTCCCAGATTAGAGTCCTCACACAGTGATGGCGTTAGGGAAGCCAATCTCTCTCTCCCATAATTTTCCATGGAAGGGGGCGGGGGGTTGGTGATACTGAGGGAAGCCAACCTCTCTCCTGGTGTTGCCAATCTCCAGGTGGTGGCTGGAGATCCCCTGGCATTACACCTGATCTCCAGGTGGACTCCCCCAACCCCATGATCCTCAGACTCCGCTCCCCAAATCTCCAGTTATTTATTATTCTTAAGTATAAGTATAATGGAGCTGCAGTGGCTCAAGTGGTTAAGACGCTGAACTGAAGGCTGTGGAAGGTCGTACATTCAGCCATTCAAGACCCGAGTGTGCCGCATGACAGAGTGAGCTCCCGTCTCTAGTTCCAGCTCCTGCCAACCTAGCTGTTCGAAAGGAAGAAATTGCAAGTAGATAAATAGGCACCACTTCGGTGGGAAGGGAACAGCGTTCCGTGCGCCTTGGTCTTTAGTCATGCCAGCCACATGACCACGGAAACGTCTTCGGACAGCGCTGGCTCTTCGGCTTTGAAACGGAGATGAGCACCGCAACCCTAGAGTCGGACTCGACTGGCTTTCGAGCAAGGGAACCTTTACCTTTACTATAAGTATACTGGGTGCCTCACAAGAAAAATAACACCTGCCCCAGATAACGAAAAATCCTGGCTACGGCCCTGAGCCGACTTAGTACTTGTGGATCCCTATGCGTTGCGCAGTTCGCTTCGTCGGGGGATCGTTTCCAAAGTTACTCACTTTCCACCTTGAGCGGTAAGATAATTGCTTCAACGTTTCCTAAATATTTTTTTCCCACCTTGCACCTGTTTTCGTACTTCCCCCCCCCCGCCTACTGGTGCGGCCATTCTCCATTCTTGTTTTCTTCGCCGTCAGAGGTGGTTTTGCCCTCGCCTCCCTCTGCGTCCCAGCCCTGGAATTCCTTGGAAGTCACCCACCCAAATAGTATCCAGGGCCGACCCTGCTTAGGTCTTGAGATCTGACAAGATCGGGCTGGCTTCAGCTACCCCGGGGTCAGGGCTGTGTTGGTCTGCAGCAACTGGACAAAGTTCGGGTCCAGTGGCCCCTTTAAGGCCGACAAAGTTTAATTCTGGATATACGCTTCCGTGTGCATACGCACTTCCTCTGACAAAGAGTGCCTGCGCACGATAACTAACAAGGGTTATTCCTGTTTGGTCCCCTCCCCGGTTCGAAAACCCCTGTTGCGAGCCTACAGCAAATAAAATCAACCGAGGCGGCAACGTTCCCTCTAAGGTGTGGAGTCTTGTGAGCAAAAATTCTACTTCGTGAGGTACCGGAATTAAAGTTGTGAGCCAGTCATTTGGCGTAGCAAAAATTCTACTTCGTGAGCTACCGGAATTAAAGTTGTGAGCCAGTCATTTGGCTACTGCATAAATCGGTCTGCTCTGGAGCCCCATCCTGCCTGAGCTGAGACAAAAATGTGTGAGCCGGAGGCTAAAAAACTGTGAGCTAGCTCACACTAACTCAGCTTAGAGGGAACAGTGGGTCACGCAGGACCTTTTTCGCGACACCCCACATCGGGTCACCTGATTGGTCACTGTCTTCACAGTGACTTGGTTATCGGTCTCGGACTGGATCTCTCCAGCGACGAAGCCTTCCTTGTCGTCCTTGACCCAACACGATTTCTTGATATCGTACGGCTTGCTGAGAGCCTCGATCTTCTCTTTCTCGGTGGGCGCCAGGAACGGCATGGGGTCCACATCGTCCCCGCACTCTCCTTTGTATCCACCAGGCATGTTGGCGTCGGTTTAGGCACAGGGGTGTGTGGCGGCGGCGCAGAAGTGGAGGAGGGAGCTGGCGAAGGTGTTATCCACAAAGCGGCTGCTTCGAACAAGAGAGAAAGCAGGAGAAGAAGAGATTGGATTAATACCCCGCTGCCCTTCAACCGAGAGGTGTGTCTCGGAGCGGCTTACAAACTCCTTTTTCCTTCCTCTCCCCACAACAGACACCCCCTGTGAGGCAGGTGGGGCTGAGAGAGCTCTTGAGAGAAACGGCTCTTTTTCAAGAACAGCTCTTATCAGAACTACGGCTTGCCCAAGGTCATCCAGGCAGGTGCAAGTGGAGGAGTGGGGAATCAAACCCCGTTCTCCCAGATTAGAGGAAGAAGAAAAAGAGATTGGATTCATACCCCACCCTTCACTACCTGAAGGAGTCTCAGAGCGGCTGACAAACTCCTTCCCCTTCCCCTCCCCACAACAGACACCCTGGGAGGCAGGTGGGGCTGAGAGGACTTTGACAGAAACTGCTCTTTTTCAAGAACAGCTCTGAGAGAACTACGGCTTGCCCAAGGTCATCCAGCAGGTGCAAGTGGAGGAGTGGGGAATCAGACCCGGTTCTCCCAAATTAGTGTCCGCCCACTTAACCACGACACCAAACTGGCAGAAGAAGTAGTAGTAGAAGAAGAAGAGACTGGATTTATACCCCGCCCTTCACTACCGAGAGGTGTCTCAGAGCGGCTTACAAGCTCCTTTTTCCTTCCCCTCCCCACAACAGACACCCTGTGAGGCAGGTGGGGCTGAGAGAGCTCTTGACAGAAACTGCTCTTTCTCAAGAACAGCTCTGACAGAACTACGGCTTGCCCCAGGTCACCTAGCAGGTGCAAGTGGAGGAGTGGGGAATCAAACCCGTTGCTCCCAGATTATTAGAGTCCGCGTACTGAACCACGACACCAAACTGGCACCAAAGCAGACAACTGATGCGGAGGAAAAGCAAGGGCGTTGGGTTTCATCCACTTTGTACAATGAGCCAATCACTGCTTCCCGCCCCAGCTACTATTATCTCCCGTTTCCCTTTTTTGCCCACTGAAGGTATGCAGGGATCCCTGGGAATTACAGCTCATCTCCTGACTAAAGAGGTCCGTTCCCCTGGAGAAAAATAGATGTTTTGGAGGGTGAACTCGACAGCAGAGTGCCCCACTGGAGTCCCTGCCCGCCCCAGGCTCCATCCCCAAATCTCCAGGAGTTTCCCAACCTGGATCTAACAACCCCCGAAGAAGGAGAGAAGAGATTGGATTTATACTCCGCCCTTCACTCGGAGTCTCAGGGCAGCTTATTTACGTATTCAATTTATCCGCCCTCCCTGCCGATCTCCTTTCCGTTATCTTCCCCACAACAGACACCCTGGGAGGTCGGTGGGGCCGAGAGAGCTCTTTCGAGAACTGCTCGCGAAAGGACAGCTCCGAGAGAACTGTGACTGACCCAAGGTCACACCAGCAGCTGCATGTGGAAATGCGGGGAATCAAACCCGGTTCTGCTCTCGAGAGGACAGCTCCGAGAGAACAGTGACTGGCCCCAGGTCACACCAGCAGCTGCATGTGGCAGAGCGGGGAATCAAAC